CAGAACAGAAACTAGCTGTGGAACTGTGGTTACTGCATTTGAAGACTTTAAATAATATACTCTCTATTTACCATCAAGCAGGCTCCTGAGCATTCATGGCGTGTTCTCAAATCTTGCTTCCAGGGAAGCAGGGAGGATCCTGTTCTTTGTGGCACCTATAACAGTGACAGCACTAGAGAAGCCTGCTCTCCCATAACTGTGCAAAGGCCAGTAAAATAATATGGAGACAAACAGTGGAGTCAGGAATCACACCTACATGCAGCAGTGCAAAGAAATCTAGAAAATAATATTGAAAGAATTAAAATGCAGAATGAACAAGCTAAAACGTTCCCATTTTAGCACAAAAATATACATACATGGGGTTGGAGTGTAGAGCAGTGTAGAGCACATATAGAGTGTGCTTATTCATATCTAGGGTCTACAGCCAGCATATAAAATGTACATAAGCCATGGGGTATAATCTAATCATGATGATAAGTGGTACAATATGGAAATAAAATACACCTGCAACAGGATTCTCAAGCACAGCACTAGTGATATTTAGGCCCAAGATTTCCTTCTAAAAAAGTCTGCCCCATTTTTTTCTATGACATTATTCAACATCCTTGATCTCCACTCTCAAGATATTTCTAAATCTTTCTCATGATCTATATTATGATTAAAAGTAAAAAAGTTGAGACACATTCCAGGGTTTTTCATGTGCAGAATTACTATTGCTGGAAAGGACTCACAGAAGATGCAGTGGACACAGATCTCAAATGACAAGGTACAAAAATAGGCAAAGACCCCCAAGAGCTTCCAAATTGCTACCGCTGCACTTCAAGTTCAGAAAGTCTTTCCAAAGTACTCTGCTATTATCCTTGCGACCCTTTCCTTGTCCTTAAAATCTGTGATACATTTCAGATGTCAGTGTGAAAAGCTAGAACAGCCTCCACAGTTTCATGCTTCAAGATGACACCCACAGGAAGCTACCAACAGACTAAACTGTGCCTTGAACTGAAGCTGGTGCTGAATCTCAGCTATGGCATAGGCCATTCTCATGGCAATCTGCAGTACAGCCACACAGAATTCACAGGCCAAGAGAACTCAAATTCCCCAAGAGAGGAATTTCAGGGATTGCAGGCTCTTTTGATTTATGGGACATGTAACAATGGTTCATGGTATTCTCTTTTCCCACAGAGATATGTATCACTGTCAAGGGGAAAGAGCCTTGGAATTCATAGTACTGGACAGACATGCATCCAGCCCATTAATGTTACAGATTAAATGAAAGTGGGCTTCTATGAGAAGGCAAACTGGCATAGCAAGGCAGTTTACTCAAGACAAAACAGTTAGAAAGTTTCCCAAAACCAGCATGAATTAGAACTACAAATGGAAGTGCTTCATCTTCAGCCAGACACATGGTTGGTGGTTTGTGTTCAAAATGCTCATGCTCAGTCTGATCATTGAAAATCTCTACCCTATCCCCTTGTTAGGGTCATGCAAACCAGACACTGTGAACAAAGTAGGGACATTTCATAAGGATCATCATCATCCAAACTAGTCAAAGCAAAAGAAGAAACACAAAATTCATAGTGTTCCTTTTCCAAATACTATTCATGTAATTCTCCTGATTCAGTTGTTTTGGAAAACCTGACTAATACAGCACTCAAAAGAAGAAACATAAGTTAAGTAACATGTTCTATAGAGAACTTTAAGACAATTTCAAGGTATTCTAGTGACATTGCTGAAGTTAGCAAAAATATACTCAACTTAAAGGAAGTTCAAAAAGAAATGTGTTGAAAGTGCACAGAATATACCTACTCAAGTCAACATTACTTGTACACCTTGGAACTTTTAAACCTGCTCAACAATTTGCTTAATTTGTGTTTGGGGAAATATATATATATATAACATTTTCCAAATTTCATAATGAATTACTAATATCTCTTGAACTTTACTGAAAGTAGTCCACTGTAATCACTAATTGCTCAGCACCAATGTCCTGCTGCTGACAGAGCAGTGATTCATGATTGCTGTCCTCCATCATGCACAAGTACTGTACCACATATCACTAGTGCACAAAATGAATAGAAAAATATAAAATAAAAAGTAAAAAAAATAAATAGAAAAGATTTCCACTACAATGTTTTACTGTATTTTTGAGAAGATTTTTTTACAGGGCCCAGGGAATGTTAAAATTACTGTTCACTAGAGATAAATCCTAGAATTTAGATTTTATATTGAAAGAGTCCCAATTCTTTAGGCCATTGTTATAAGACTTCTGGTTTCAGTTCCTCAAGCAACTGAGAATAAAGACTTGAAGTATTATACCTCACCAATATTTACTTTACCCAAGCATTTAAATCTTGGTACATCACAATAGATATAAACACCCCAACCTTAAACCTGCATGGTGACACATATGTATTATCCCCACAGTCAGAGACTTAAAAACACTATTAAAAATTCACACCTCCTGGAGGGCAACTTAGTAAGTCCTGGCCTCCAAGATTTTAGAAAATTAAAAACTTAGCTCAGAGCAAAACTCCAGAGTTCAGTCCCTGTACACACACACACACAGCACGCTGAGTGTGGTGCTGTATACCTATGGTACCAGCTCTTGGGATGCTGAGGCAAGATGACTGCCATGAGTTAGAGGCCTGCCTGCATTACAAAGTGAGATCCTGTCTCAAAAATTAATAAACAAACTAAAATTATCAAGAACACCTGGAAATCTCTGATCTATTGGGGATACCCCCATCATTCTACTTCAGCTATGGTGTCCACATTAATTTTAAATCTAAAACTAAGCCAGATACTTTACTAATTTCAGATTTTGCCTTGAAAATCATTAGATGAACTTATCAGTGGTAGCAGAAGGCATAGTTACCTATTATTAAGCTCCCATCTTTTCTTTAAATCTGTGACCTTTGCCCAATTCACAGAGCAAGCAAGCACACAAGTCTTCCTTCATGCTTACCCTCAGGACAATCTGAGTTTCAGAATCTTCTATATTTTAGACACTACTATTGGCTAAACAAAAACCCTTAATTACTAACCATTAATACGCTGCACAACTACTATTTCCAGCTTCTCCCCTGCTCTAGTACTCCTTGGAAACTAACACAAGCAGCTTTTTTCTATTTAAAAATATGAACAATTAGGCCAAGAACTATAGCCCTTAATACAGAGATGATGTCCTGGCTGCTTTCCACTCCTACACATATCACAAATGTATGCCCAGGTAAATACCCCAATTCAACGTTTCTCTCAATGTATGCTTAATAGACAGCCCCGTCTGGAAGTTTTCTCTGCAAGGTACACTTTCCATTTCTTTGCTAAGGCTTTACCACCCACTATGTTTTCCTTGGCATTCTAACTCTGTGGCAATATCATTTGAACTGTCTAATTGTGAGTGGACCTATCATCTAAATAAATTTTTAAATTTTTTTTTGCATTGCTCTGCATGGAACTCAGGAGTCCCCTGGGATTTTGGCAGGTGTTCCTCCACTGGAACACATCACCACACTGTTATCAATTCTCAGCTTCTTAATACCTAACATGGTTCTAGAAATGTAGGAAGGTAGTGTAAATTTAGAGGATCACTACAAAGATTAAAAAGCAAAAATTTGAGGTGGAATTATGAGTATGAATTCCTGCAACACAGATATTTATAACTTTCAGATCTTTCAGCTGTGCTGCTGATAGAAATGAAACCAGGGACGTAGTTCATCACCACCGCATCCACCTACAGTTTGCATCTTGGATCTTCCTGAGGCCCCTGTTCTGCTCAGAATGGTGCACATGCAAATGTAGCAGTGGGTTTCTCAAGAGGGCACTCAGGCTGTCAGTGTCATAGCGGACAAAATGTCCTGAGAACTTAGTACTGGCCTTGCGCTAGCGATGTTATAGGCAGCTGAGTTAAGTAGAAATATTATATGCAGTCAGAGAGGGCTAGGCCCTCAGTGGAGCCAGTGCAAAAGACCAGACACCTTGCAACTATGGGGGTAACAATCACCCCTCTCTGTGGTCCAGGTCTCAAGACAAATGAGAAAACAAACAAAACCACAATTTCAGTGTAAACATCAGGGATTAATAGTCTCAACAGATATTCATCACCTTGAGGAAGCCAGAAGAAGCACTAATCCGTCTCCTTAGGGCAAAGAACCTGCTCCTCCATGCTAGTGTCCCTCTTGGATCCCAATTTAATCATTTACCTGAGCAAATAACTCATAATCTTGACTGACCACAATTTTGTCCTACCTCATCCCTCTGCACTGTGAGTTTCCATTTTTGCCCACTTTGGACCCCCCTCAACTTGTGGTTTTGTTCTGTAAAAATCCCTAGAAAACCAGGGACCTAGGAAACCCATGGAGGGCCCATTCTCTCTGTCTTTTTATTTCTGGATTCCATCTTTCTCGATGTCTCCCTCTCTCTTTCAGACACGGTAGATTCCTCCAGCGTGGGGCTTAGCTATGCCTAACAAGACCTTTTTCCAACTTGGAACTGGGCTCACAGAAGCAACTTGTCTCTCCAAGAGTATCACCTATGCTTCTTTGTCTCTATCGTGCTAAAATCTTACTAGGACACAGCTTTCTTTCTATCAATAAATATATAGATCTCTCTTAATCTCCAGTGACCCTAAAATTCATTCTTTGATTTTAGAGAACACAAACTCACACCGGACATTTAGTAGGTTGTGAGGGTTTTTTTTTTTTTTTTCCCCCTTTATATCAGCAAAGGTCAAAACGAACAAGGAATGGCTAAACTCACATCTGAAACTACATCAGGATCCGGAGCTACGGGGGGGGGGGGGGGAGCCTAGTCACTACAGTTAGGGTTTTTTTTTCTCCCCTTTGGTACCAGGATTCAAACTCGCGGTGTCGCACTTTTCAGACAAGCGCTGTGTCTCTGAGCTACATCCCGGCCCCTAGGCCACCATACATAGTTCAGACCAATTCTAACACGACATCTTCCAGATCCCACTCCATTTCAGAGCTCCCGTCGCACAGCGTTACCATTATGCAGCTTGAAGGTCTCCTAGAGTCTTTTCTATGCAGCCTATAGCTTGTATAAATCACAGAAAGGAGCCGATCCAGCTGGAGTGCTCTCAGTAACAAGCTCCAGGCACTTTGACGCCATGACACCGGAAGAACACGCCCTCTTGGCCTTTTCTGATTGGACAGTTTATACAGTTGGCTTCCTTTTCATTGATTGACTTCTGCAGTATTGCCCGCCCTCTGAGCCAGCGGCAAAAGAAAAACAAACAAAACCTGCAAGAGTGCAGCCCAGGTGCAAGACTGTAATGCAGAGACTTCTGGACCAGGTTCTCTTATAAAATGTTAATCTCATCTCGCCTGCATAATAGTACTTGCATTTAAAGGCTTTACCCGGAGGTCTCAGAATTAACCCAATTTTCTTATAAGACTCAGTGGACTCTAACTAAAAATGGGCCACGAATGTGTTAAAGAGGTTCCAGGGTCAGTATTCTAATAAAGACTCAATAGTCTTATGTCAGAAAACAACCTGGGTCCAGGCCAGCCCAGGAAACAATGCAATAGAGGGAGAACTGGCTATTTGAGAGATCAGTATCCAAGAATGAGGAATCTGGCTTCAGTCTGAAGATTTTCACATTATGTCTATCAATCTATTAATTTTTCAGCTATGAAAATGAATTTCTGTCCCTCAAAAGGAACACAAAGCATTATAGTTAACATTAAAATTTTCTGCAGATATTCATGGCTTTAATAAAAGCCACCTAGTGCTTAGATAGTTCAGAAGTTCAAACTTTATTGTTATTAGAATAAATACCACGGATTTCCAGAAAAAATTGCATGTTTCAGATTATATACTCTATATAGTTTTAAAATTATTAGTTGTCATTCGTTTTTACATCCATGGGACAAAAGATGCAAAACCTAAAATTTAACGAATGAGAAGTTTTATTTGTCTCCCAGTATCAGCCACATGGTCTACTAATTGCAAGGCAGAAATACAATGGCAGAGTCACATGGTGAAGAAAAATGTTCTCCAAAGGTGCCAGCTGGAAAGCCGAAAAAGATAGGTAAGCTGCCGACAGAACACGTTTCCAGAACTTGCTTCAAGTGGCTCATGTGTAACAGGACCCATCCTCCTCACAGCATTTTCATACACTGAAATCATCAATAGATTAATGATGAATACTGATTCCACACAATGCAGTCAACTTTGAAACTTACAAAACATTTCAGATAAAACCATGACACTGATGTTGGAAGGAATAACAAGACATGCAACAGCACAGAAACCTCACACAGGATCCAGGACACTCCCCTTGACTCTGCGTATGTGCTTCACAGTATGGTGAGGAGTGAATTTAGGATTAGTGTTAGGCTCAAGCATTGAGATGCCAAAGGTCAGTCTCTGGCCATGGTGGTTACCTCAACTTGACAGTATACTTATGTCCTGGAAGCAATCTCAGTCCAAAGTACAGGGCCAAAAGAAACAAATGGGTACCACTACAGTTTCACCTAGGACCAAATATTCCAACTGATGCCGATAGAACTAGTTCCTGACAAGGATGTTTCTGTTCACTTTCAACCATGAATCATGTCTTAACCACAACCCCCACTCTGATCTTGGATCATTGGGCAGTGCACAAGCATTATTTTTGGACTAATTCTCTCCCAGTGTTTTTCCCATGCAGGCACTGTCATTAGATCCCACAAACAAGTCAAGTTTAGCAGGTAGGAAGGCACTCAGCAACACACTGGGAGCTTCTGCCTTGGATGCCTGACAGAGGAGAACCCACTTCTCTGGCCAGTGTATGTGACTGGATGATTCACATAATACAAACTCTTCTTCACTGATGCCAGGCTGCTCAGTTTCGTGTACGATGACTCAATAGGCACAAGAGTAACAGTGTACTACCTGCATGTATGACATTGAAATACTACACTCTAATCAAATTCTTCTCTGTCTAGTCTCACTCCATCTTTGATCACTTCTTTCCTTGATGTGTCCATCACCAGCCTGAAGGATTACAGCCCTGAAGCAGGATTTACTTCTAGCCTTTTAAAGCTGCTTGTATCTTCTTCCTGTTCCCAGTGGGACCTTCCTATTTTTTGTTCCTAAAAATTTGATCCTGAAATTACTCCAGAATTTCTAAATTCAAAGCCACATGGAAAAAATCCCCAGACCCAATAATGTGTCTCCAGGCAAGAGTAGGACAAGATGGAATAGAAGGAAAGCACTAATTCTTTTTAAAAGAAGAGAGGCATTCTTAAATTAAAATCCATGAAATAAAATTCCAATAGCTTTGGAACTGAACAATATGTATACAAAATAAAAATTTTGAGGGTTTTTAAAGTGCTTTTTAATGTGTAACTCAACAATTTTCTATTTTAAAATGATAGTATAAGTCAAAAATAAAAACTATAATGCAGAAATTCAGAACATGATAACAAGAAATTAACAATGGCTAATATATTGTGATTTGTTGGGAAGACCCAATATTTATAAAAGGTGGCTTCCTAGCACAGATTTTCTCAAAGCCTATCTCTCCATCTAGACATTTTCAGCCAAGGAAAGAAAACCATGTGAGAAAGAGAATATAATTCTCCAATAAGTGAAAAATTCATGTATAATATGATAACAGTACCATGCAAAGAAACCAATGTGAAAGGAAATAAAATATCTTGGCTACCACAGACAGGCAAGTTCTATATCCAGAGTCATGAAGAAAGTCAGAATTCTGAAGACTAATTGTATGAGGAGGGCCAGAATGAGAGGCATAGTGTAGCTCCATCTTTGTTCTCTTATCAATGATGAGGCACAAAAACCTACCAACTCAAGAGTAATTCTTCTGTAGTATACTACCCTTTCCTCATTGGTTGAAAAATGTTCTCTTGCAATGTGTTAATTTCACCACTGTAAAGTTATCACCTTGAATCACTGCATTTAGCCTTATTGTGAAGTGCATTAGCTTCACAGATGCCTAGGACATTTAGTAAAGCCCATGTCTGAGTGGATCTGATTGAGACAGAGAGGCATGACCATAGATATTACATCCAGTCTCCAGTTCCTTTTTCTCAGTCACTTTATCCTGAAGAATTCCCATTGGAATTCTGAAAAATGGCTACTGGGAAGCCAAATTTACTGGAGACCAAAAACCAAAAGAAGTGGCCAAAACCATAGTTTCTTCATGGGGGAAAATACCTCTATATTGCTTTTTATTCTACATAGAATACAAGTTTATTGGGTGATACTAACCACATAGGACATTCTCCTTTTGTTTGTGGCTGAATCACACACTATTGTGAGAACACAAACTCTTGTAAGTAGAAGTAGGACACAAATCATTAAGGTGACAAAATTTTGGGTTGCTGACTATGGGATGTAGGAAGAGTTCACTGAATACTTTGCAAAAGCACCCCACGGAATCAGGACACCTGTGATGTTAAAACTATCTTTGAATTCTCATGGCCCTTTCATAAATTTGCCAATGTGGGGAAACACTGGAAACTTGAAAATTCAACAGGAGTATAAAAAGGCAGAGTTCTGAGATGAGTTGTGGTTGGAAGATCCTGCACTGTAGACATTTATAAATGTCAGAACTTCCAGGTCTGCTGCTGAAAGGAAGCAGAGCAGGGTTATAAACACAACACAGATACACCCAGCTTCTACAGCCACCTGAGTTGAAGTCAGTACAGCCAAACTTCCTAGACTGACATAGATGAGGCTGTGCCTGGCACCACCCAAAATTGCATGGTGCATTGATAGTGTCAAACTGGAACAGTATGCAGGAAACTGAACTAACACTGACACAGAAAAAGGAAAAGAAGACAGAAGCACCAAAGACCAGGAGAACCTCAGATTCTGAACCTAAGAAAGGAGGCTGCATATCCCTGTAGGTAGTTCCGGTCACTTCCTATCAGGCCTCATCCCAATTCAGTACCATCCACTTTTTCTGTCACACAACATAACTTCTGCATGACCAGGGTCTCCTAGAGTCCTCTCCAAGAAGCCCACACTCAGCAGAAGTCACAGAAAGCTGTCTCCAGGGATAAGGGTGACTCCCAGCAATGTGCTAAGGGTGTGCTGCCAACATAGCAGGAAAAACCTTCCTACTTTGGCACACCTGCGTGGACAATTCATGCAGCCTGACTCTTCATTCCTGATTGATGCTGTTGTACTCTACTCAAAAAACAGGGCCCCATGATGAAACATGGGGCAAAACCCCAAGATGACAAATGGGGCAAGATGTCTTTTTTAAAAGAAGCGCTTTTATTTTAGCTGGCCCAGTGACACAGTGCAGATGGAATTTGCAAAGCTGTGCAACTGAGTTAGAGTTTTGACTGATTTTTATAGTTCATTTATGATTAGCTCATTGATCATTAAGTACATAGTGATGAGAAACAGAAATAAGGTGGGCCTTTGTTCCCCTTTGCTTGAGGTAAGAGGCATTTCACAGTGGGTGGTTAGCCAATTCATAGCCCTTGGTCTGCCAATTCCAGGAACATTTGTCTCTCATAAAGGGAACAATGTTTGACACAGCATCATTTGTCTCTTTCAAGGGGAACAAAAGTTGACAGCACACAGGTCACTAAGATGGGGGGGGATGACACGTTACAGAACAGCAGAATGATGCGGTCAGTTAATTTATAACTATGTGGTTGGTGCTTGGTTACTAGGGTAATGAGCTCAGTACAGAATGACAATTTTACTAATAACTATCTTTTTAAGTAACTATTTTTGTTAATTATCTTTTGATCAATTATTTTAATTTTTAGCATCTTAGTATAACAGACGCCAGCTCCATTGCTCTCCTTCAGAGACAATTATACTACATTCAATTAATTTAGAATGTAGAGAAACATAACTATAGCAGAAAGGGTGCAAGGATGTCTTTCAGAATGGCCCTATTATATATGAAATAGAAACAAATTAGTTTTCTTGATATGAAAACTAACAGCTGGTTTTTAATTTAATTTATAAATCCCCTTCCTGTTGGATTTAGCAACCCACACCTATAATAACACAATTCTGGGCTTTACCCTGTGGTCTCAGAGTTGACCCTATTTTCTTATAGGGCTCAGTGGAGACTCTTCTTGAGCATGGGTCATAAATGTGTTTTCTTCCAGTATGCTGTTCTGTAATTCTAATTTTAGGTAACCCAA